CACCACCTCATCTCACACTACCATCACAATCATAAGACAGTGTCATCATGACCAACACCACCTCCTAAATCTGGCAAAGACCCACTACTTCTATGTATCATGCACTTGAAATAACGAGTGAAAATCAAAATTTTTACTTATTTCAGATATTGCTTGTACACTCAACAATCAGATGGACTCCTCGCAAACTGAAGAAGAAGCTGAGCCAATGAGAGACGAAGAGGAGCAGGAAGCAGAATCTTCAAAGAAAACCCAAGGTACTAAAAATCTTGCAATTATTGAGWCAATAGTTGATAGTTTTCCTTTTGTTTCACTGTGTTACCTTTTGATATATTCCTTCTCTCCTTCAGCTACAACAGAAGCAAAACTTGGTCCTCTTGGAGAAATCCTGATGCAAACGGCGGTTAGTGTCACAAAAATATTGAAACTGTATAGACACAAACCAAACCTCTCAACCAACCATGATGCAGAACCTTCAAATTTTATCCATACCCTAAAACAACCTCTGTGTTGATGGAAGTCAGGGCATGGCTAACTCACAGATCAAACCCTGAAACAATCTCTGGGCTGAACTAAGTCAGGGCAGGGCTAACTCACAGATTGAATCCTGCAACAACCTCTGGACTGATCGAAGTCAGGGCATGGCTAACTCACAGATTAAAATATTGGAATTTAGAGAAAACTTTGAGGTAATAATGCCCAGTCCTGGGATGGAACCCGAAGCAAGAGGTGCTACGACACCTTGATTCCCTATAATCAGGTCAGAGCAGAATTAATGGCACAGTGACCATATCAATCTTTTATTATTTTTAGAGTGTAAACATGCAACTCCTGAGTACAGTATTTGGCAGTATGACATGGCTGGACTCTACGGCATGCAACAAAGCTGCAAAACTCACTATTCCTTTCATTACAAAGGTAAATAAAATTGAAAAATTAAAGCAGTTATTCACAGCTCTGGATTAAGTTTTTCGTTTTTGATATCTGTGAAGGCACTGGCACTGGCACAGTCAATGGGCTCCAGCATCTCATCTAGTGTCATAGAAACACTATACTTACAGATATTGAAGGTATGTTAACTTAACTATTAGGGTAACAAGTGTGGATCCATGCAGGGGTGGATCCAGGGGGGGCAAACCGGGGCTGAAGCACCCCTTCAGCAGAAAAAAAACAACAAAACAAACCTGAAGAATTAGATCTTTTTCCTTTGTTTTCCGTTATGTTGACGGAAGAAACTCAATTAGCCCCCCCCCTAAAATTTTGGCTGGATCCGCCCTTGCCATAGAGTAGCTGTAGATCCTTCAACTTAATTCAAGGGCAGATCCAGGGATCTTTGCTATGTTTGCTACCATTACAACCATTTTGTGTGTACATTTTTATTTGAAGGGTATCCAGGTACATGGTGAACTGGCACAAAGTGTTCTCATGAGGATCGGCATTGTTCTCTATGAGATGCTGGTGAGTGATGGGTATTAAAGGGCACTAGTTTTATTTTTCAATCCCCGACCAAGTAACAATTTCACTGTTTTTTTTAAAATTCGGTTTTAAGACATAAAACGATTGTTTCATCATCTTCCCAGAAACCACAGTATCCCAGTCTGAGGGAGGTTTTGCTTCAGGCTACAAGTTGTTCAATGGCTGACTTTGAGGTAATTAACTGTAATCTTGCKCTGCTCATTTTCAAAAACATTTAGATTACACTATTCCTATGACATCAGTGAAATAAAAAAATAAGCTTGTACTCTAATGAATATGGTATTCACTGGCCAGGAAATCGAGATAGGGAACATTTGTGCCCAAGGTCTTGAATATACTGGTTGAGGCTGTTTGGCCAATATACCATGAAAAAGTGCATCTACTCTATGCCACAAAATTAATACCTAATGGGAATGGGGAAAAACAAATAAATGGAATGGGATAGGAATGTTTTTTTTTTAAAGTTTAAGATTTGGATGCGAGGAATTAGGAGTGGAATCTCCCAATCAGGAGCCTTCCAAGGAACAGCAGTGTTTCAAATGCAATGGTGTGGGATAGATATCTTTAGTATCAAAAAAAAAGGCTAAAGTTTCTAAACATTTTGAAACAACCAATGAAAAGCAAAAGGTATTTCTAAACGACTGACATTCTGCTGACAAGGTAATTGACACTTTCTTCCTGTTTTCCCTTCTACCCTGATAGGCATTTGAGAATGTCTGTTTTGGAGAAAAGCCAAGATCAGAAAAATCCAAGAAAGACCACTTTAAAAAGCTTGTAGAAAACATAATAGGGGTAAGAGCAATACCACTTGATGGATCGCAACACTGCAATAGCAGGTATCAGAGTTATACTTCATTGTCTCCTTACTTGTGAATGTATAGAAACTGACCCAAATGCCTTGACTTGAAACAAGTATAGCTTGAAAACAATAGAGTGTAATCTGATATCTGCTATCAAGTGTTTTGGGTGCAACCACCGCCATCCGGTTAGCTCAGTTGGTAAGAGCATCAGTCTGTTGTGCAGGAGGTCGTGGTTCAAGCCTCGGCCGGACCACCACTCAGGGTCTTAAAATAAATGAGAAGGTGCTGCCTTTGTAATTACATCTGCAAATGGTTAGACCTTCAAGTGGCTCGGATGACCACTTTAAATGGCAGTCCCGTCTCTCCACACTCATAATTACTAACCAATATCGGAGGGACGTGAAAGAACCACTGAGGATGTAAAAAGAAACCCTGGCAGTGACCACCCTCAGTGCCTAACCACCTCTCGTTCAAAAAACTCATTGTGAAGCGGCTTTGAACATATGCATATGGTAAAAGAGCGCTATATAAATATTTATCATATATAAATTATATCATATAACCAGTGATGTACGGACAGTGGTGGATTGGAGAAGGTAACGTCCAATGAGTTTCTCTAATAATATTATAATAATAATATAATATAACTGATTCCCGTCAAGGGCATTTGATATTTTTCTCTTATTCTCTCTATTTCATTACGCACACCGAATGCATAATTTATTACTACTAATAATATAATAGACYGAGGTAAAAGGACTACCTTTAGGAGTGCATGAGAAAACTTTTAGTACCACTTGACAGACAGCATTCAAAAATGCTCTGTACACTAATAAAGCACAGTTTTCAACCAATTAGAGCACTCGTACTATCCAAGCTATACAGTAAAATGACACTCATAAGATAATTGAACTTGACGTTCATTCTTTCTTATTTTGTTCTAGAAACACTTAGGAGAAATGTTCAAAGATGAGATTAAGATCAAGGACTTACCAGCATTACAGTTACCTTCCAAATCAAGAGAGTCGTCGCAGGATGATGGAGACTTGGGGCTTGCTGACCTCTTTGACCCCAGGAAAGCTACACAGCTTATATGATTTTTTAGATAATTGCCATCAGATGGGATTTACAAGTTAGTCATCATTCGATTGATTGCCATGTGTGATAATCATTGTCAAAAGCATGAGAGCGAGACAACTTTGGACAAAAGGCTTCATTTTATATGAGGAAGTAGAAAACAAATGATTTTTATGAGGGCTATTGTGGTTTAATTTTTGAAACCAAAAGTTAATAGCTATAAAATACAAAAACAATTTAGATATAGCGATAAAATAGATATCAAGAAAATAGAAGACAGTTTTGACTAGATATTTCTAGCTACGTCCACATTTGAGACCTCTTGACTCCAAGTTCCTAAGCAAATCTTTCGCTTTATGACCAGTCTTCTATTTCACAACCATCACCTCCCATAAGGGGTTTTTACACAAGGTTCACTCCACACACAACCATTAGTATTTACCACTATATTCATTATTGTCATTGTATGAAGGGAAATTTGAGTACCATCTGCCCCTCAGCCCAACAGATGTACTGAAAGTGAAGTTAATTGGTTAAGATGGTCAACAACTGCCCCATTTGCCTCACTTCCATGTCAAATTACTAAAATCCAAAATAACTGAAAGCCATTATAAATGCACACAAGTACATGGTTAAATAATAAGACTATTTAAATATGCAGTCATAAACTACAAAATTAATGTAGTTAAGGGATCAAACAATCTAATGCAGATATACTTCCATGTCCAGTATAAAGCACGGCATGGCAAGGGCAACACAACAATTTTGTAGCATAATTGTTAGAATGTCCTGTAGAAATTACAGATTTGCCCTGGATGCCTTGTTTTCATGCTAGTCTCTCGATTGTCTGTCATATTAATTAATCTTTTCAAGGACTTTTTTAAACCAAAGAACATTTTTTATACAAGAGTCATCAAATAGATTRCAGTTTTTTAGTCYTAAAACTGYTACTTAATTAGTTTAAATAAATTTYTCCAAATAAGGYGATGTTGCTTTGTTTTTAAACCAGACAATGGTTGTGAAATGTTAAAATGTTTTTACTATATATGACATTAATTCATATGTACGAAATAAAATAAACATGAAATTTTTATTTACTCAATGCGTTATGATACTAAAGTCTAGATCCTTTATAGTAATAAAAGGTACACTTAACCCCTTACTACAGTGAACTCTCGCCATGCGGACACCCTGATATTACGGACACTATGCTATTACAGACAGGAGAAAAATCCCTGACAAAAATACTGACAAAGAAATGACAGTAAAAAATTTTCGCTATTGCGGATGCTCGCTATTACGGACATGAAGTGATGGTCCCGAGGGTGTCCGCTGTAACGAGTTTTGACTGCATTAGTACTTGATGAGCTATTAATTCTGATGAGCTATTCCAGTTTGTTTTCAATCCCATGAAATAGACTGCCATTGGACTCCTATTTCAAATATCAGTGCTTGTATTTTGGTCCCAATTTTGTGTCAGCATAGTAACATGAGTTCCAGTGCCATATTGCTTGGGCCCCATTTTAAGCTCTTCGAAATATCCTGTTCCTGTGGCAACACCCCTAATGAATTCTGAGTTGCACTGTTTTCAGTTTACRCATGGTGCATATACCAAGCTACTTTTAATCATTCCTCGTCACTAGAAACAGCCAACAGATTCATGTGGTCCATGCTGCTTCGGGTGTGTCCTTTTCTTGGCTGTTTAACAAAATTAAAATGATAAAAATGAACTTAAGATTTAATGATCTAAAGCTGAGAGAAAAAATTAATTCAAGTAAGAGAAAAGGAACATATAAGTTTTTTTGCAGATTTCCAGAAATCTTTAATGTCTAACTGACCTTTCCAAAGTATCGTACTTTCTTCAGTTTTCGTCTTCGGCAACATYTAAACAAGAGGACGCTGAAAGCAATCAACAGTGCTCCACATACTCCAGCACCAACAGGAATGAGAATGTTGACATAGAAGAACTTCACATTCTGAAACGAAATAATCCCATGCATTCATTCAGTGCACAGTCTT